CAATCCCTTCTACTCCACTCTCCTCTCGGGATCTTGGGCACGCACGCACACGCGCCCGGCGTGAGTTTAAGCCACCGGGTCCGGGACGCGAACCGTGGTTGACTACATGAGAATCCAGCAACATAGCCATGATGCCAACTGCTGGTCCTTTTATTTTTTTTTTAACGAGAGGTTGCTATAGGGCGCATGCACTTGTCAGAGAGACAGAGAGACAGAAAGCGAGAAATCACCCCCCCAGTGGGGATGGCCACGCCGCAATCCCTTCTCCATTCTCTCTGGATTCTGAGCACCCACACACATGCGCCTGGTGTGGGTTTTAAGTCACCCAGTCTGGGATTGGAATCCCTGTCGAGTATCTGGGAGTCCAGAGACGTAATCATTCCACCATCTGCTGGTCCGTCTTTATTTTTCAAAGTTGATGGGCTAGGTCTAGCAGGTGGCGTGAGTAAGACTGGATTCCCACGTGGCCGACTGACTGCAGTTCGAGTCCTGGACCTGGAGGCTTGCTTTCTCTCTCTCTCTCTCCCTCTCTCTCTCTTTCTCTCTTCTCTCTCTTGTGTGCGTGCATGCGTGCACATACCCTGTAGGACATTTTTTAAATAATAATAAATTTTAAAAGTCATTTTTTTTAAAATTTTTTTTTGGTAGAGAGTTTTGCCTTAGGGCACATGCACTTGCTGGAGAGAGAGACAGAGACAGTGAGAGGGAAATTGAGAAATAATCCCCAGAGGGGCTGGCCACACCGTAGCCACTTCTCCTCCATCTTCCTCCCTGAATCTTTGGCACGCACACACACACACCCACGGCATGAGATTCAAACCACCAGGTTCAGGACTCGAACTGCAATCGGCCATATGGGAGTCCCGCAACAACCACTACACCATCTCCTGATACCAAATTCTTCTCCTTTCTTTTTTAATGTGAGGGTTTTTATTATAGGGTGCATGCGTTCACCAAAAAGACAGAACGAGACAGAGAGACAGAAAGCGAGAAATCACCCCCCAGGGGGGATGGTCACGCCACAATCCCTTCTCCTCCAGTCTCGTCTCGGGATCTTGGGCACGCATGCACACGCGCCTGGCGTGAGTTTAAGCCACCGGGTCTGGGACGCAAACCGCGGTCGACTACGTGGGAGTCCAGCGACATAGCCATTATGCCAACTGCTGGTCCCAATAAAATAATTCTTTAAAAAAGAAAATTAAAAAGAAACATGCCAGGCGGATGTGGAGTGTGCCCAAAATCCCAAGAGGAAAATGGAGAAGAAAGCATTAGAGTGGCCATTCTCTTTGGGGGGTGCTTTTTCACTTCCCCCTCTGTCTCTCTCTGGCGTGAGCACTATATAGCAAAAAATTTTTTAAAAAATTTAAAAAAAGGAAAGGAAAGATGGGACCAGCAGTTGGCATAATGGCTATGTCGCTGGACTCCCACGTAGTCGACCGCGGTTTGCGTCCCAGACCCGGTGGCTTAAACTCACGCCGGGCGCGTGTGCGTGCGTGCCCAAGATCCCGAGAGGAGAATGGAGGAGAAGGGATTGCGGCGTGACCATCCCTCCTGGGGGGTGATTTCTCGCTTTCTGTCTCTCTGTCTCTCTCTCTGTCTGTCTGGTGAGCGCACGCGCCCTATAGCAAAAAATCTCTCCAAAAAAAGAAAAAGATAAAGAAAGAAAAGAAAGGAAAAAAGAAAAGAAACCTCCTCTGACCATTCTTTAGTCTCAGAATCCCCCAGTTCTCTCAGACACTGTCCCTGTCATGTGCCTAATCTAGAGATACCCATAAATAATTAACCCAGACATTCCTTTTCGCATGAATGGTCACACGAGATGCCATTTTTTTACCACAAGGTCAAAATCTACAGCCCTAACCAGGCTGAGCCGGGAGTGGGGACTGGAGGCAACGGCCCAGGAACCTCCATCCACCGTCAACTCCTGCTGTGTGTCTTCAGCAAAGTTGCCTCTGTTCTCTGATCAGCAGTTTCTTCTTTTTTGGGGGGGTTGGGTTGGGGTGGGGTAGTCTTTGCTCTAGGGCACATGTGCTTGCCAGAAAGACAGAGAGAGACAGAGAGACAGAAAGCAAGAAATCACCCCCCAGGGGGGATGGCCACGCCGCAATCCCTTCTCCTCCATTCTCCTCTCGGGATCTTGGGCACGCACGCACACGCGCCCAGCGTGAGTTTTAAGCCACCGGGTCCGGGACTCAAGCCGCGATTGACTACATGGGAATCCAGCAACATGCTAATTGCTGGTCCCAGCAGTTTCTTCTTTACCAAGCAGAATTTTTTTTTAAGAGAGGTTTTTGCTATACGGTGCATGCACTTGCCAGAGACAGAGAGACAGAAAGTGAAAAATCACCCCCCAGGGAGGATGGTCACGCCGCAATCCCTTCTCCTCCATTCTCCTCTCGGGATCTTGGGCATGCACGCACACGTGCCTAGCATAAGTTGTTTTTTATTTTTAATTATTTAATTTTATTTTATTTATTCATTCATTTATTTAAATTTGACCAGAAAAAGACACACACAGAGAGAGAGAAGGAACGTGAGAAAGCAAGCCACCAGGTCCGAGACTTGTACCATGGTCGGCCATGTGGGAGTGTCCAGCATCTTAACCATCATGACCCCTGCCAGCCCCTTCCAGCCTGAGTTTTAAGTTGCCGGGTTCAGGACTCAAACTGTGTGGGAGTCCAACAACATAACTATTATGCTATCTGCTGGTCCCCCGAGCAGGATTAATAGTCACTGTTCTCACCGGACCCAATTAGATGTCTCTGAACAGTTGATGATAAGACAAGTTATAGGAGCCAGCAGACGGTGGAGTGATTACATCGCTGGATTCCCACATGGTGGACTGCAATTCAAGTCCCAGACCTGGTGACTTGAAAATCACACTGGGTGCATATGCGTGTGTGTCCAAGACCCAGGAGAACGGGGGAAAACGGATTGCGAAGTGGCTGTTCCCACTAGGGGGTGATTTCTCACCTTCCCTCTTACCGTCTCTGTCTGTCTCCAGTGAGCACACGCACCCTCAGGAAAAACCTCTTAATAATAAAAAAAAAAAGTTGTGAACCCAACCTGGACCTGGCACTAAGTAGCTCACCAAGACTTTGTGATGTTACATTTATTTCTTCCAATAGGGCTGGTGCTCTATAACCAAAAATTGTACCAGTTATATTTATTGTAATTTCTCTTGTCCTGCCCAGCACAGGTTGAGTGTTAGCACAAGGTGACCATAGTGTCAAATCTTGGGGAAACTTCAAGAAGGAAATGGGGGCCAGCTCCATGGCACATCAGTAATGCACTGCTTAAGAGAAATTAGATCCCTTGGGGCCAGCAGGTGGCATGGTGGTTAAGGGCACTGGATTCCCACATGGCCAACCACAGTTCAGGTCTTGGACCTGGTGGCTTACTTCCTCCCTTTTCCTTTCTCTCTCTCTCTCTCTCTCTGTCTTTGTCTGGTCAAATTAGAAAATAATAATAGCAAGTGGAATTAAATAAATAAATCATTCTTTTTTTTTAAAAAGAGAGAGAAACTGGATCCTCCATGAGGACCTCAGTTCGAATCCCCAGCCTTGTCAACCTGAAACACACCAGGCTTTTACATGAGTACCCAGGATCTGAAAGGCTGAAGATCTGGAAAAATGATGACCACAGTGCGACCAGACCCTGGGAAGAATGCTCTTCCTCATCTCTGTCTCTCTTTCTCATGTACACATGTACATGCTCAATCATGTAGAAAGAAAAAGAATACCAGGACCAGCAGTTGGCATCATGGCTATGTCACTGGACTCCCATGTAGTCGACTGCAGTTCGAGTCCCGGACCCGGTGGCTTAAACTCACGCCGGGTGCGTGTGCGTGCGTGCCCAAGATCCCGAGAGGAGAATGGAGGAGAAGGGACTGCGGCGTGGCCCTCCTCCTGGGGGGGGATTGCTCCCTCTCCCTCTCACTGTCTCTCTCCTGTAAGCACATGCACCCTAAGGCAAACAGCTGAAAAAGGAAGGAGGAAATGACGTTTTCAGGGCTTGGTGGTCCAACCACGGGGATTTCAGGTTAACTCTGGCGTCAGAACCAGCTACTATTCATGTAGACGCATAGATTGGGGCTTCTCCAGAAGTAAAGGTTATTTGGGGGCATTTCCTTTTGTAGAACCTGGTCTGTACCTTACCCGGCATTTGAGACCAGTGTCTGAACATTTGACGGTATTTTCTTACAGCCTCATCTTCCATCCCGGCCTTTTTTATTTTTTATTTTTTTGGAGAGGTTTTTGCTATAGGGTGTGTGCGCTCACCAGAAAGACAGAGAGAGACAAAGAGCAGGAAATCGCCCCCCAGGGGGGATGGCCACTCTGCAATCCCTTCTCCTCCATTCTCCTCTCGGGATCTTGGGCACGCACGCACACACACCTGGTGTGAGTTCTAAGCCACCGGGTTTGGGACGCGAACCGCATTCAACTACATGGGAGTCCAGCGACATAGGACGAAATAGGCATGGCGCTAACTGCCAGTCCCTTTTTTTTTTTTTTTTGGCCATAGGGTACATGTGCTCAACTAGAGAGAGACCAAGAGAGAAAGAGGGAAAGTGAGAAATCAACCCCCAGGGGAGATGGCTACACTGCAGTCCCTTCTCCATTCTCCTCTGGGGATTTTGGGCACACCCATACGTACACACGCCTGGCACGATTTTTAAGCTGCCTAGTCTGGGGCTTGAACCGTGGTCAGCCATGTGAGAATCCGGTGTCTTAGCCCCGACGCCGCCTGCTGGCCCCATCCAGGCTTTTTATTTAGGCTCTTCTGCTGACCTGTGGGGGGCTGGGTCGGCTGTGTATACCAGCAACTTCCTGGGGTTCACAAAATCACTTGTGTCCCCCCCCTCTTCCGTGGTCAACCCTCGTCCTATCTTGCATGGCAGCCCTCCATGGTGGCTTTATCGCCCTACACACACTCTTCTGCCCATTTCACGGAAGGGAAAGTTGGGGCTCCATCTCTTGAAGAGGCTAGCAGAGTTCTGGGGGACCCCCATGGCTGCCCCATGCCCCGGCCCTCCTGCAGATAGCCTGGCTGGAGGTTTTCCTGGGAGGGCCATCCAGAGAGCCCCGCAACCCAACCCTCATAAACCTCAGCTGCTGGGCCAAGAGCCAGCTTGGCTTTCCCCTCTCCCCATTCCAAGCCAAGGGTGTTGGGGGGCCCCTGGAGAAGAGAAGCGTCCCTCCCTGAGCCGGCTTCTCCTTTCCGGCCAGCTGTAGCCAAGCCTGACTCAGTCCCACAAGACCAGGACGGGGTCACCACAGCCTGGAATCTGGCTTGGGGGGTGGGGAGGGGCGGAATCAGGGTTAGATCCGGGGTAGAGGAAGGGGCTCCCCCCAGCGCGCAGCCCCTGCCCGCTTTCAGGCTGGGGATCCCCCCCTATCCCCATACGCCTTAGCGCGCACAGGCTCCGCGCCACCAGATCTGCAGGTCCCCAGGTTAGGGACGGAGCCTAGCTCACCCAGGGCCACCTTGGCCACCCGCAGAGGGGCCGAGGGCGCGTGGCGATCAAGTCCCCGTGTCCCTCGGCCTCTGTGTATCTCTGACCCTGAGTCTCCCTGTCACCTGCGTAGCCTGGAGGCTGACCTGACCCAGCGAGCTGATTACGGGGAGCAGGGAGGGGGAAAAGGGCCATCCCAGGACGCTCCGACGGTCTCGTGATTTGGGGTGGGAGTGGACACAGCAGTGGGGGGGTCAGATTGGGAAACAAGACACAGACAGAGACGGGGGAAGTGCAGAGACCTTAGGCGCCCGCCTGGGGCCCCGGAGGGCGTGGGCACCGAGAGGCGGGCCTGGCTCAGGGGCTGGGCCACCCGCCTGCTTAAAGGCGACTCTGTCCCGGGCAGGCAGGTCCTTGTCGCTGCACCATCCACCCTGCCGTGATGGCTCTGTCGCCCCTCCTGCCGAGCTTGCTGCTGCTGCTGCTGTCGCTGGAGGTCCTCGCAGGAGCGCAGGAGTCCCGGCTGGAAACGCTCCCCAAGGGGGGGCTGACCTGCAAGGTGGGGACGGCGACGCGGTGGGCGGGCCGGAGGGGACCCGCGCCCCGGCGGGGTAGGCGGCTCCTCCTCGCTTCTGAGACTTAGGCCGAGGGGACGCTCTTGCCGAAAAGTCCCCACTCGATCCTCTGGCATTGGGGCCATACCCGCGGCGAGGCGTTTCGTTTTCTGTGCCCGGTCTGAAACGCTGCGCGTTGCTCGCCCGCATGAGGGTTGGTTGAGCACCTACTGGGTGTTTAGCGGGGAGCTGGGGGAGGAGGTCCCCTGAAGGTCAGGGGAAACCCACGCTAGCTAAAGAGCTTTGCTCGTGGGGGCCAGCAGGTGGCGTGGGTGGTTAAGGGCGCTGGACTCCCGCATGGCTGACCATGGTTCGAGTCCCAGACCTGGCGGATTACTTTCTCACTTTCCCTCTTTCTCTCCCCTACCCCAGACAAATATAAACTTAAATAAAATAATTCTTTTTTTTTTTTTTGAGAGTTGTTTGCTATATGGCGTGCT